TATTATTCGTTAATCTTATTATTCGTTAATCTTATTATTCGTTAATCTTATTATTCGTTAAACTCAATATTCGTTACACTTTGTAAGGTCTTTTATGTACGCGTAAATATAATCTCTGTTTTGTAAACCGATGGCTAATCCAAACGAAGAATCGTTACGCGCCCTAAATTCTAATGTTAACCCGACATATATAAAATACAAAAATCTGTACAACCTCCAATTCCTTACAAAATGCAAAAGATTTCATTTTGATTAAACTATCCTTGGCAGAATAATCGATGGCTTTATATAAAAAGAATAAATATTGAATTCGTAACCTTCCCCTTTCCGAACTTGATTAAAGACATCATCTAGCAACTGTAACATATTTACTAACTGTCTGTGTGTTGTTTACTAGCGAAGATGAAGAAAACGGTTCTCCAACGCCTCTGTGAACGGCATGTTCATTCGTTGTCGAAGAAAAGCAAGAGACAAACGGCAACATAATTTAGGGAGCAATTGACAATGGGAGTGGATTGGTTATAATCTCACAATCAGCACCATTTCTGGAATGGTATACGATGGTGTGGTAGCGTTTGTCTTCTGGCAGACAATGCTATAAAACACATTTTATTAATAAGATTTCAAAAGCATGGCAATAAAATAAATTTTCAATATAAAAAAGCCACCTTTTGTGTAAAAATATTGTCACCTGGAATTTTTCCCGACTTTACGTGTTTTGTAGGCTAATTGAATTGGTCAATTGCTATCTTAGGGTAACCAATAGACGCGAGCGTTTACCTTCTTCATCCATCAATTCTTTCTCATCCAATGAATTTGCAAACATTCCAATCCGCGTGGTACCCCCTCCTTATCTCGGAACTTCTAACGAATCTTGGAAAAATCAAATTTTACCCAGATTTACTCGTCTGTCGTCTACCGCACATAACCGAACCTAATGTCTACCAAAGAGATAGAACGTGATAAAGAAGAAGGATTTTTTATTGCACTTAATTTTATCATTTTTATTATCGTTTTGCGATGTTGTGTAGGAAGAATACTGCTACTCTTGCAGAGAATGATTCCGTAAGAAAATACTTACGTCTACATCGAAAGTAACAACAGTTGACATCGCAAATATCATCTGTATCACTTTCCGAAAGAAGACAATCTCCTTCATCAAGATTGAATTTGAGAAGTTGGTAAATACATAGAATTCGTACTGTGCATACGTGTATTTTGTATTTGTTAATGTTCTAAATTAACACACTAACGGCCGGCGATTTCTCAGTTAAATCTCGTTTCTGGCCACCATCTTTCTTAACTTTTTTGACATTTTCTGATAGCACTCATATGAACAGAGAATAGAGACGATATATGAATGTTTCTAATGTAAGGATCAAATGGTTCTTGCGTTTTTAAAGTTTGGTACTCTTAGCCTACTGCGCTTACTTTTACGTGATAACCGTTTAAACGGTAAATTTTATTATTTATTTAAACACATAATGTGTTCAGAATGTCGGAATATCACTTTACGATCAATATTGTGAGATCTTTCCGATTAAAATGAGTTAGCAAATATGCTTCGAACAATGTAGTGTCTGATGTCATTTTCATTATAAAAATATAAGTAACGTGTTGGTAAAAGCTTCATCACAAATCAAGAATAAGAAAATTTAAATTTTGAATTGAACTACTCAGTTTATCACAGGTCGTTCATATTTGTTGATTCTCAGTCCCTCCTTCTCTTTCACTCGCATTGTCCCTTTCTACGTTCGACACGTCTAGGATCTCAGTTTGGACATTTAGGATAGCTTATGTATCTTCATTATCGCAACACTTGAATACCGATTTTCGTACAATATCAAAATGTTTCCTGTATTATCAAAAAACGCAATAACAGTTGAGAAAGAGTTGTGCCTGCACACGAAGTTTAGCCAGTACTTCAATTAAAATATATTCACAATAGAAACATTTTAGCATTTTATGATATCCTAGAATTTACAATACAACAACTACATCCCTTTTCTCTATTCAACATCTACTACTGACTACGGAAATAATGGCGGATAATATTACTCGATCCGAGACCGAATATCGACGAAGCAACAATACAACAATAAATTTTTACCAATTATTTTTTTACCATATTATTACCAATATTTATGAATCTTTCATCAACATGTCCGTCATATTTTTGTAACTAAAATGAAGCGAAACACGATACAATTTGATAAAATCGGCTAAGTATCATAGGTTTCTTCGTAAACGAAAGACGACGCAATACGGAGGGGACGATCTCTGAAAAAGCGAGTACCGCAAGTTATCACCCAATGATTTTACGTCCCTGCGCGCGCCGAAACTTCGGAGCAAGCAGGCGAATCGATTTCTATTCCACATACAGCTCAGTTTTCTTCTTCAATAACTGATATCTTCGATGTATAATAATAAAGTACTATAAGAGATTTCTATCTGGTTTCCTCTCAGTCAGGCAATTTTAATATAAAACGAGATTCCTTGTCTCACGACATCAATATGCTTTCCGCGTTTTTACATGTTACTTTCGCTTATTATTAATATGTACTATTCTTTTAACAGGCAATCTCTTCCTAACATATTATACCTGCGACTCTTTAAGAAGCATGGATGTCCGTGCCGATCATTGTTTACCCAAAATCATCAAACAAAATCGTACAAAAAATACGAATAGAAGAGAAATCATACTGTATCCGAACAACCAATAAATTTATTACAAAATAAAAGAAAAAGAGAAGATGAACAAGAAAGACAGCCCGTTATCCAAAAACAACTGATCAGAAAAGAAGGACAAAAGCTAGAAGAGCGACATCTATGCAACCAGTACCGCTACCAACAATAACAAGAGGCAGATGAAGGAGGGATAAAATAATAAGAAGAAGAAAATGAATTATTTGGAAATACACCAATACTAGACTATACAAGAGTACCGTTAAGATTCGCTGAAAATGACGATTCGATTGAACGACTAGCAATTCAATCCCAGACAAGCTGCGACGTTCATATTAAGGAAAGCCTCACGTTCATATTAAGGAAAGACTAAGGAAAACATTCCGAGAAATAGAATTGCAAAATGAACATGCTCAACTG